TCCCAAGCGAGTTCTTAACCATCGCGCCACTCGGCCGGCCCGGACTGGTACAATTTTCAATTCTGGGTCCTTAAATTTATTCATCTGTGATGCTGGTTTGGTTGCCAGCATTTTTATTTGGTTTATAAACGTTGTGATTAATACAGTTGACCCTTAAACAACTCCTGTTTGAATTGTGTGGGGCCACTTATAAGCAGATCTTTTCAATAAATGTACAGCTGGCCCTCCATGTCCAGGGGTTTCATATCCGCAGGTTCAACCAACCGCAGATTCAACCAACTGCAGATCCAAGAAAGTATTGTATTTTCCATCAGTGGTTGGGAATCCGCAGATACAGATCGTCAACTGTATGTATTGTCCTGCGCCGTTTGATTTAAATCCTTTTTTTAAATCTTGAGCATACACGGATTACAGTATCTGCAGGGGTCCTGGTACCAAATGAGATATCGAGAGACGACTGAAGTTTTGGGGGTGTCAAAAGTTATGTGCGAATTTTCTGCTGCACTGGGGTCAGCGCTCCTAACTCCCGCATTGTCCCGCATTGTCAGGGTTGGCTGTATATACAAAAAACGACAGGAGAATGCAAAGATAATAAAGACATTGTACTCCTTTTTAAGAAACTATGGATAGGGTTGGAGGCACCTATAGACAAGTAGAATATATTAAGTGTAATGGGAACACAGAACAGGATGAGAAATCTTTAATGGAGGAATTTTGGAGAAACTTGTAGAGAAAGTGGAATTTAGAAGGCCTTCTTGAAATTCCCCTTGTTTTTGAAAGAGAAGTGTTAATAATGGCACAAAGGTGGAAATGTGGTATGGTTGAAACATAGGATGAATGAGAAAACAGTGAGCAATAAAGTTGGGTAAGTCGGTTAGGGTGAGATTTTAGAGGGTTTAAATACAATTCTAAAGGGTAGAATCAAAATATGATTCTAAGGGCAGTAGGGAGTGATATAAGGTTGGTTGTTGAATAGGATAACAACTAGTTCAGGGCCTGAGGAGATTTACAGAAACTACCTTTTAAAAATAACATGTTTTCCATTTTGTCTAACAGTTTATACTGTGTTGAATTCCATATATGTAACACTGATTTAAAATTAACATTCATGATTATGGGTATGCTAATAAAGGAATTCAGAGGAACTCCTGTACATTATTCAAACTGTTCCTGTTTTACTTTTATTGAATTGTGGAATGTTTGGCTAGATGGCACCGATGAGAAACTGAGGCCCAGAAAACTCAGAAACTTACTCAAAGGCACACAGCTCTTAATGTCAGAACTTGGATCTAGAACCTAATTCTCTGAAGCTTAGTCATTGATTTTTCTCTGCTCTACTTCCTCTACTGCATATTATAGTTTACAGGCTACTTAATAAGACACAAAGAAAGAAATATGCCTCCCCCCCCCCTTAAGAATGTTTACATATGATGCATTTTTATTTAAGTGCCAGATTTATTATTATTAGTACAGATCAGTGCTGGAAGAGACATTAGTCTTTAACATTTTTTAGGCTAAATGAATACTTGTAGGAACCCTCATCTTAGAGGAAGTAGGATTTGAGCTTATTTAAAAGGATAAATGAGTGGAGAAAAGGAGTGGGAATAATAGTACAAGCAAAGCGTCAGGGGTGAGCATAAGTTGTTTTCTGAGCATAGTGTGAGTCACCCTGGAACAGAAATTTGTTATAGAATAATGAGAGAAATACATTGTAACATGTAGTATTTGGTAGATTGATTTTTTTCTAACAGGGAATGATTAAAAACCTACATCTGTACAAAGAATACTCCTGGGCATTACTGTATTGATAGTGAGATTCTATAAGACAGATTTAACATACCATCTCTTCGTAGTCATCTTTTTCCTGCACCCTGGTCTTTTTGTGTGGACCCTGACATAGTCAAGAATAATTTCAGATGTTTTGACAAGGTATAATGATTAAAGCAGTTAAACAGAGAATTACCTCAGAGAAACTGACTATATATTGGATTGTCGGGAAAGTCATGACGCATTTTTGCATTGAAAAACATAGAAAAAAACGTCATGACTTTCCCGAGGACCCAAAAGTAAGATTTAATGTTATGCTCTTGGATTTATAATTGGATTATTTCCATATCTTAATACCCATCCTTCTATCAGATCAGTTGATCAAAAAAACCCATTAAGATTCTCTGTTCAGGTGTCCCATAAGCTTTCTGTGTTTTTTCCCTGTAAATTAACTTTAATACCATAATTCAGCATTAAAAGTTAATTAACATGCACTATCATGATAATAGAGACTATAAACCTGTATTCCTGGACTGACAGAATCGAAGAAGTTAGAAAGGCTTTAGAAATAATCTTTATTCATGAAATCATTTGTTGATTTATTAATTTTTGTTGTTTATACTCATGTGAAATTTGCGTGTCTCTGACTACACTTTGTCAGATGTCTGATTCAGAAATCTATCTCAGCATGCTGTAAAACCTGTTTTAAAAATAGGTATGAGCCACCCTGTGTCACTGAAATGTTGTTGACACAGTGGAAAAACTATTAAATGAGTGTACAGCAAACTTTACCATTACTAAAGAAAGGTGTTTTCTTTTTTAAAAAAAAAATTGACTGAATTTTCATTTCTGAAAATTCAAATAAATATAATTGAAATATTTAGAACATTTTTTATACCTATTGTACTGTTTTAGTTGATTTTTTTGAAATTTATTTCTAAGTATAGTTTGGTATAAACCAAAGTACTTAGAAAATTTTTCTTTCAGATCATTTTATTTGAAGCAGGCAACATTTTCTGCACTTTCATTGAAGATTTTAAAAAGCTATTACTATTTATATGTGACCATTTAAGTATTCCCTAATATATTAAATATACATTTAATAGATTGGGTGAATAAAGATTTTTTTCACATTGTATAAATGTATATTGTTTACATACATTAGGAGTAATGTATTAGGAGAGAGGATCTTTATCTTGGTAGGTAATATGGAATTTTTGTCAGTAAAGATTGGGTAAAGTGAAAGGAGGTTAAAGTGAAAAGTTGACTTTCTCATACTTTTTGTACTGCTTTTTGTAGTTTGCATTTGTCAAGGCAGCCCAGGAGTAGGGAAAAGGAGAATTATAATTAGTTTGGAAAACATACACAATTGTCTTGACAAACAAATAATAACAAAGGTGTAATATTGTACTCAGTAGTCCCCTAGCAGAATCAATGGAGAACAAAACCTCTGGGGTGAAATGTGGTTAAAGCTAATAAGTCACTCCAGGACAGGAAACCCAAACTGGAAAGATTTAAGTCAATAAGGGAGAACTTCCAAAAAAAAGCCCCGGTGAGAAAAATGGAGGTACCCATCCCTGACTGAGAAACTTCAGTGGAGGTGAACTTTGAAATCTAAATAATCCATATCTATGTAGTTGAGAATTGACATTGTGATTTTATGATAATCAGGTAGGTATTTTTATTTTAAATGTCAACAAAAACTGATTGCATGTATACCTTCTCTAAACTGTTTGCCAAGTTTAAAAATGGAAATATAAATACCAGTTCATGGAATGCACAATTTTTTGATATAAAAATTAATGATATAAAACCAAGGTTACTCTACCCAGCAAAGCATCACTTAGAATTGAAGGACAAAGAGTTTCCCAGACAAGGCAAAGCAAAAGGAGTTCATCATCACCAAACCAGCATTATAAGAATCTCAGGATTCTTTTGCTGAGGGATGGATAGGTACAGTTATTTCTATTGTACAAGTGAAAGAAACAGGTCAGAGAGATTAAGCGACTCCTTCAATATTACATATTAGACAGAGAAAGACAATATTTGAATCCAGGTCTTTTGACTCTATGCTCCTCCTATAACAAATACCAGGGCATTTGTCAGGAATTTCAAAACATAGTTTGCTTGAATTCGATCAGTGAAAGACAGAATCATATTTTAGGAAAGATAATAAAATAATCTGATCTATACCACTGTCAAAAATACAGGCACTAAGTAAATTCTGCTTTAAATTTTAGAGGTTGATCATTTGAACATTTGAACTTGCCGATAATAATTTTCACTATATTTCAATCTTAATATGCTCCCAAGAATGATACATAAACTTTTAGTATTTTATTTACTCGGGGCAAACTATAGTGGTAGCATCTCTACAGCTGCAGATCTGTATGTGCTGGGCTCAGCTCAGCAGGATGCTTTACTTCCAGTATTTCCCTGAGATCCTGGTGGCTTTAAATGGTCCTGTTTGTAATGAGTTCTGGGGCAAGTATATGTGTTGGAACCTGTTGACACCATACTTGAGGTGCCCTCCATCCAGCTTGGATTTACAACTAGAAAAGTATTCCAGAATTAACTGGAATCAGTCTGGAATTAATTCTTCCTAGAAATTAATTCTTTAAAAACTGTTTTTATAGACATTAAAAAGATGAAATGGTCTGTGGTAAATTTCTAAATATTAGCAAATTGTGATATCTGGGAAGATATTTAATGTAAATTAATTAGGTTTCTCCAGTTATTTGATTTTAGTTCAACTTTGGGTTTACTGAGTATCAGGGAAAATTAAATATGATTATAAGTTTTGGCATCTCAATCAAGCCATCCTTTAGCAACAGTAATTGACACTAGTTCCTGAATAGAAACTACAGCAAAACTGATCTGTTTATGAGTGAACTGGTTCCTATCATATGTGAATTTATAAATGAAAAATTTACAGTATAACCTGGGAAATTCTGATATTTATTTAAAAGAATGGTTTAAAAAGAATAATTCAGCTATTTTGTAAGAAAGTTGAAGTGTTATATTCATGTATTATAGAAAGAGCCTTCTTTTATTATGGCAACCGATTTTGTTTACTTAAGGAACCTGTTGCTAAAATAGTAATGAGGAAGAGTGTAATGTAAGTGTAGTCATACACCCTTTGCTCTACAAGTAACCGGAGTGCTATATATGCATGTTGCTTAGTTTCCTTGTGGAAGGTGGAAGTCATTTGTATGTTTTTCTCCCTTGCACAGCTTAAAATGACGAATGTGTGATTTCAGTGGAATAAATGGCGTCCAAAGTCACTGATGCTATAGTCTGGTATCAAAAAAAGGTAAGTTGATAGTCAAAGCTTTTAACCTCTTAAATGTTTTTATTCTAAAAATGCTTGTGTGTGTGTGTGTGTGTGTGTGTGTGTATGTATGTATATGTGTATGTATGTGTGTGTGCTATGGATTTATGTCAGATATTACTTAAAATAATGACAAATAGATTTCAGGATCTTTTGGGTGGAAGGGGAAGAATATTTTGGTTTTCCTTGTGACAGTTTTACTTCTAAATGTTTTTAGAAGTAAAATAAAATAAAACATTTTTTTCTCCAGTTTTTACTCCACATTTTCAGAGTAGCTAGGGTAATTATTTTCTTTTATAATGTAAATCAAACTTCCAGGATTATGAATATAATTAGCATTTTTACAAGATCATTAAAAATTTTTGTATTAATTTCTTTTAAAAGAAAGTTGGTTTAGCAGAGCTATTATAATTTTATAACTATTTTACATCAAAAGAAACAACAGTTTCAATCTGTTTCTTGTAAGTTACAATTCAACAGCTGAATCTTTTCAGTAAAATAAGCCTTTGGAGACTGTATTTTCTAAGCTGAAATATTAAAATGTTTATTTTGATGTTTTAGGATTATTGTCATAACTACTTAACTAGCTGTGTCATCCTATACATTTCAAAATATGCTTTACCAATGTAATGTTTTCTTTATAAAGTGCAAGAGAATAAATGCCTCTTTTGAAAATACAGTAAGTATACTGTTTACTCCTGAAGAGTGTTGTTTACACTCTTTAAAGGGTATATTATTATATGTAGTATCTTAGATTTTTAGTGTATGTAATGCATTATGTTTGTTTTCACATTTAATAACATTTTTGATCCTTATTCTTCAGGTCCCTATTAACAAAATATATAGTTAAAGCCTTTCCAATGTGTGGGAAAATCAGACAGTTTTAAAATTTAGTTGAATTGGAAATAAGTAGTAATTGGAACACTTTAAAGATTAGACAAACCTAAGAATACTGTCTGTCTTTGGATGTGTTCTTTCTTTTCTGGGTAGAACATACATATGGCAGCTATACAATCTCACATTTTCATACGAGGTGCTAAATTGGAAGTGTTGATCACACTATTAATTCAGTCTTCTGTGGTTCTATATGAGAGTCGTCTTTACTTTTAAACTTCCAATCAACTAAAAAGAAAACTAAATTAAATTAAAGAAAACTAAAAAAAGAAAATTTTTATTTGCTACTTAATTCTTTGAAAGCTTTTCTCTTAATTTCTATTTATGAGAGTTGGTAATATTTATTAAGCATTTTATCTGTTTGGCTTTTTATGTTAAACACTCCAAACTTCACTGAAAATCATTTGTAGAATGTACGAGGTTGACTTTTCTTCTGATCTGAGGGATTGAAATATTATACTCGCATTCAGTTAGTACAGTGACACCCTTCTTATCTGAGGGTCATTTACCTGACAGCGTTGGATGTGTGCAACAAAAAAACTCTCCAGTGCAAATGTAACAGATGTCACAAATGATATCCAGCAAATGTAATCACATATTTTATGTTAAGTCACCAGAATCATTAACCAGATTTGATTTGCCCTATATTTTTTCTTTTGCTTTTAAATTTTATAATTTTCTTGAAGAAATACATGTGACTACTTTGAAAGATTAATTAGTGTTTCAAGGCTTATTGGAAATAAAAAGAGCATTCCCCAGTACTCCCTCTTCTCTCCTTACCCAATCTTTGAGTTCTGTTCCCTAGAGACAATCATTTTAAATATTTTATGGCTCAGTGTTTCTCAAACCAAAGTTCTCGTCACTGGTAGAGAGTTGGGGAGGGTGGATTGCAAATGGGGGTGTGTGAAGTTTTGCTTTTCATAATTACTTTTGGGGGAATACTGACATTTGTGGGTAGAAATCAGATACTAAATGTAAATGTCACGCAATACAGTAAACTAGAGTTGGCAAACTTTTTCTGTAATGGGCCAGATAGTAAATATTTTAGGCTTTGAGGGCCATAAGTCCTCTGTGATATCTACTCACTGTTGTCATAGTACAAAAGTAGCCATAGACAACATGTAAATAGATGAAATGAATAGGCTTGACTGTGTTCCAATAAAACTTAATTTACAAAAATAGGCAACAGGCTAGATTTGGCCCACAGGCCTCAGTTTAATGACCTGTGCTCTAAGACAGCCCCATACAACAAAGATTTACCCTTCTCAAAATGCAGTAGTACCCTACTGAATAACACTGTTTGGGGTCTTTTTTGTGGTATTTTCTTTATGTTTTTAAACATACCCTCTTTGTCTTTATTTGATTATTTTATTGTAGATGTTACTTGTTGATTTCTGACTGTATGGTAAAGATTTAGCTTTTGTATGAGCTCCCTCAGTCCCCCTTCCCCCTGCCCCCTATTACCACAATCACTATAGATTTTGGTTAAATCAGCATTCAGGGCTTATGTTTGTGTATGCATTCTTTAGAGCTGCGTCATATAATGTACTGTGATAGTGTTTCCTGTCTGTGCAACTTTTTCCCCCTTTCCCCTAATTAGTTCTGTTAGAATTGTAAAACTCCTTTTGTTACAGTCAGTCACATTCAGGTCATCTATCAGTTCCGTTTTTTCTTTCTTCGGAATGACCCTCTTAAAACTCTCTGACCCCCTGCTCCATCCTGGTGAATTGTTCTGAAGTCATGCCTCTCATCTGCCATAAATGCATTTCTTTTTATCATTAGCCTGAGAGTTCCCTTCACTACTCTTAGGTCATACAGATTTGTTTTTCTCTTAAATATGTGTTTACAAAAAAAAGTCCTTTTAGAGGTGTTTATGTTTCAGTGAAAAGAAGGCTTAAGCACTAAAGCCTTGCTGATTATTTGACCTTGGGCATTTAATTTAATTTTTTTGAGCTTCACTTATCACTTTCTTATGCTTCTCAGCCTCTTTTCAATCATGTATCCCTTTTAAATTGTGGTAAAATTTTTAAATTTCCAGGATCTTATTTCCAGAAAAGTGTATATAATGTATATACAAAATTTCACATCTTACCCCAGGTGACCAGTTCCCCGATTAGATTATTTTAAAAGTTTTAAGATTCTTTGATTTTATTAGTATCATTCCATAGTATCCAGCTTATACTAGGAGGTATCACTATAAATAAAAACCAAGAAATGTTTACATTCATTTTCTTGGATATTTGTTTGATTTTAACTCAACTTTGGAGTCACCTTTCCCACTGGAAAATGATGACTTTTTCATAGTTTTGTTTTGAGTACTGAACACTAGCCCACTTGATTTGTGGACTGTTGTAAACATGAGCTGTGATATTAGATGTGAAATTTCCAGGAGGAAAAAAAAATTGTGTTGAAGTATTAAAATATATGTAGAAGATCTAATTAAAGATCAGGTACCTTTTGATGAATTGTTCTCTACATGGTTTATTTAGAGTTTTTTTGTTTGTTTGTTTTTTAATTGGGGAATTGGGGGAGGGGAACAGCGCTGGGGGAATAGGGGAAGGGGAACAGACAAGTTGCTGTCCTTTTGTTCTTCAGTCTAGTTGTGGAGGACATTGCTTCACTGGCCCAAGTTGGCACCATCATTGCACTCTTCCCGGGTGAGGCAGATCAGTCGCCGGCTTCTGGACGGCTGCTCACGGCGGCTGCTGGCCACTCACGCTGGCTGCTGGCTACACACGGTAGCCCATGGCAACCCACTGCCACAGGGGCTGCAGCCTACGCTGTCGCTGGCGCTCCAGCTCCAGGTTGAGCTGTTGTTCAGCATCTTAGCTGTAGAGGGCAGTGTCACTGGCCCTCATATGTGGGATCCGAACCGGGGCCCTCTGGTGTCCCAAGCCAGCTCTTAACCATCGCGCCACTCGGCCGGCCCTATTTAGAGATTTTTAAGGTCCTTTAAACTTCATTTTGTAGCATCCATAGTCATGAATAATTTGAATGTTATTATTGAAACAAATTTTCAGTCATTAATTCAGAGGAACAATTAATGCCTCAAGATTGGTGACAAGGAAAAACCAGAATAGTTTTTGGTTAACATTGGGCTGTTGAATGTTTTTTTTTGTATTTCTGCTGTTGTATTTCTAGTTTTTTGTTCCTGAGGAGAGGCGATTATTTGTCTTTTGGAAAGTATCCTAAATAGGGTCTAGAAGTTATATGGGTTCAAAGATAATTGACACATTAAATATTCCTTAAAAAAAAAAAAGATCCCAGGGCCGGCTGAGTGGCGCGATGGTTAAGAACTGGCTTGGGATGCCAGAGGGCCCGGGTTCGGATCCCACATATGAGGGCCAATGACACTGCCCTTTCCCCCAATTCCCCAAAAAAAATCTAAAAAAAAAAAAAAAATGATCCCTAGGATTGTATTGTAAATATGAGGTCAAATTATGAGATTGAGGTTCTATTTTCAAGAAATGAATATATAAGAGGAGGGTAGCCCAGAAATAACCCCCAAATTTTAAAGGGGAGAAAAGCACTGGCAATACTGTGGATATAGTAAAATAGTGAACTTAGCTTATAGACCTTGGTCACTGCCTTTGTGGAGTCAATAGCCAGCAAGAAAACTTGAATAAATATATTTAATGGCTTCTAAATATGAGCCAACAGTCAGATTTATTTAGTAATATAAATGAGAAACTAGCCTGAGTAATTTGAACTTGACTAATTAATCAGTTGGGAACTTTAAAGTCTCTCCCTTTTTAGTAAAGTTCAGTTGTGCATATGTGTGTGTGCATGTGTACACCAAGTACATAAGTAGGGCATTTCAGAGCGATAACTTGCCCAAGGTCATACAGATGATTAAGAAGTGGCCACTTCATGGATGGGATAGAGGCTTGATCACTGCACTGTGCATCTGAAGCTGATGTTGTATAATATTGTATGTCAACTATAATTATATATACATACATATATATATATATATATGTATATATATATATATATATATATACGCACACACACACATATATATATAGTCACGGGATGTGGAGTATAGTGTGGGAGTGGAGTCAATAGAATTCTAAGAGATACATATA